TCGGGTTCGCGTTGCCATGATGCGGTCTTCGAGCTGCGGTCTTCGCTGTTCAGGTTCGGCTTTTTGCGTCGCGCACCGTACATCAGGGGACCCAACTGGACTGTATCGGACTGTGCCTTGTGCCGATGCTTCGACCCACCGATCCCATCCGAACCGACACACATGAGCCCCCCGGCCCAGTCGCCGGTCAGCTTCGTCGAAGCGGTGCTTTCCTCCTGCCGACGTGGTGCGCGGCGACGTGGTGCGGAGCTCCAAGCTGGTTGGACATCCTCTTCATATGGAGGGCTATTGTAGAATCAAGGGTCTACATTGGACCTGTTGATGAGTCAAGCCTCCTCTACCAGAACGGTTTGACCATTTTTGACCTCTCCATATTGGTTCTTTCAATGTGTTTTGCATGTTCCGGGCCTGCGCCCGATCTTGATTCTGGGGTCGAAGCCAGTGCAACGGCACCGTCTCCGCGACCCCGTCACCGTGGGCCTTGGGCCTTGGGCCCCCTGGGCACCTGGGCCCCCGCCCAAGTCAGTCCATCAAAGAGATCTGCTGGACGAGTGTGGCACCCACCTGCGCGTCATTGGGTAATGAGAGCACGCCACAAACGCCAAAAACTACCAGGCTGATCATTGGAGCTCCAGAGGTTGAGGTTCATGTGGCTTTGGAATGACACCGAAGGCTGAATGGTCCCATCTCATCAGAGCTGGCCTCTCTCAGTTCCTGTTCAGCTGTCCTCCACCACGTGGGTGTGTCCAGGTGGAAAGGAAAAAACTGATCGCCTGATCAGTTCCGGGGCTTCCTGGAGGAGTTACCAGACCCACTTAGACCCTGAAGGCTTCTTTCCGGAAGGGCCGGTGACTCCCGAAACCGTGCGCTTCGGGGCTTCAGCAGCTTGGTCCGGAGCCGGAGGGGGGGTTGATCTAGGAAGTCTCCGCTCAGCTATGCCCACTACGTGAAAATCTGGGTGTGTATACCGTGTATAGATGTATCTATACATACATAGAGCAATACCACGAAGACGTCAAGAACAACTCAATCTTGCACACGCTGCCGCTCAGTCAACCAACATCATCAAAGCAAAACGAGCTCGAAATAGTGTAGAGGACGACCTGTTCAAACCCCGAATTGGCTCTTCCACTTCCAGGTTGCATGATGACAGCTATACCTTCAACAGATACGAAACCGCGGAACGACGACGATTGACATCCTTTTCTCCGAACGGTCTCGTCTCGTCTCTGCGGGTTCGGTCTCTGCATCGGTCTCTCGGCCTGGCTGCTCCTCAACCTCGGCTGGAGGCCACTCGAGTGCAGAACAAGGTACTTGGAGAGCAAGGAGAAGAGACAGTCAGTCAGGAAGATTCCTACCCCTGCAAACATCCACCAAAAAGCATCGAAAAGCTGAAATGCTTCACTGGACAGGGTTTAGGGGCAACTCCCATGGTCGCCCCTTTTTTCGGCTCCCTGTTGAATGGGGTGAAGCAGCTGTGGAGGCATCCCGCACAGGGATGCCTGCTTGGTGCGAGGATCCCCTGTAACGATCTGTTTTCAGCTCCCTTCGCGTCGGACTTCAGTGAGGTCCTGTAGGCTCTTGAGGACCATACACCCCCCAAGCCTGAAGAGGATGTTCAATTCAAATGGGGGGGGTGGTTAATTCACAGTGATGTACCTGCTTGGTTCAATTCTCACAGGGCGGTTTTGAAGAAATGGAGGGATGTCTATACATGGTCTTTGGGGTTTGAGCCAGGAGGTTGACCTGAATCGTTGACCCGATACACCTTCCCTGATGCGTACTCGCGTCAGAATGGCATGAGGCTAAGCCGAGAATCTGCCGATGTAGGCCTCTAGAGTTGTAGATTGGATGAGGTTTAGGTATGACTTCCTTCTACAAAGATTCCGCGACCGCATCGCATCTGACACAGGGTGCGTCTGTCACCTCCATCTGGTGCTGTGCACAAAAGGATCAACACAACACGCGTTCCCTGCTTCATCTCTAAACTGGGCTAGAGCTTTGTGCCAGTTTACTTGCACCTTCAGGGGCCCGTCTCATCTTGCTACTTGCCTGCGGCTGTAACTACACATCACCCGTCAAACTCCGTCAAACAATGTTTTTCGAGCTCCCTTGAAACAACCATGGTCGTGAACAAAATGCAGCCAAGAACTTGCTTTGTGCTTTGCCTTCTTCATCCATCTTGTATGGAAAGGCAGCACTAAAAGGTAAACATTCTACGTGTTTTGGATTTGTGCGTGCGTGTAGCAAAAGAGTTCGCGAAGGGGAGGCCTGAAAGCGATGTCCAAACGATGCCACCTGCTGCCAACAGCCAGGCAAAAGGTACTCGAATCCTGAGATACCGTAAACACCACAATAGATACCGGCCTCAGTCTACCAACACTGGAGGCGAGACTTTCCGAAGAACACTGGAGGCGTCCAAGTCCAAATTTCAGCAGCTCTGAGCGTTTCCCCCCCCACCCGACTGAAAGCCAGGATCCACCGGTAGGTTGGTCGTATGTCAACGACCTGTGTTTTTCCCGTTCGCTTGGTCGGTCGGTTTGTTCCCTTTCCGGAGCACCCTCCATCGTCGTCTCGAACGGTGGGCTCGGACCCTGGGGGAGTCGAACGGTGGCTCACCGAAACAAGGTGAGGAAACTGAGAGGGACATCCACCCGCGATGGGAGATGGGTGTGCCCAAATGGGTGCCCCAACTGTATGATGGAGGCCTCATCTGTGGCAACCACGTCATCTTGATCGTCTTCTTCCCCTGGCTTCGATCCCAACGGAGGGCTCCGATCCCGTGACGGGGAAAACGAAGGCACTCGGAAAAGACCGAGTCCAAGGCGGTTGGGGCGGTTGGGGAAGGACATGGATGCCTTATGTTCACCATCCTTTGGCAGAAAAAAACTGCTGGGGAGTAAGATGGTAAGCAGATCTCTGAGATGATCTCTGTGTCATGACTCTTTCTCAAGGGTTCTAAGACTGGCACGCCAGTCTTCCCGGCCACCGGCCACCCTGGACCGAACGACACCGGCACTTGGCACCTTGAAACGGACCCTCGGTTGGTCCACAGCATTTGGGATGACATTGTCCCATCAGCAGCTCCTACTGGTGTCCTCTGCTTCTTTGCTGCGGCTGTGGTGATAGAAATTGGGGCACAATTCCTACATTCTATGACTCTATGAATCACCTCACCTGCCTGGAAGCTGCCTCTTGAGTTTAAAAGCCTTGACATACATGATGCTGCTCATGTCCGACAGTAGAAAGCCTGCGTTGATGATCGCGGCTCTTCGGCGGAAGGGGCTTGTGAGTTGAAGTCAGGCATTTGTGAGAGGCAACCGCAACGACCATCAAATGCCACGACTAATTATTTGACGTTGCAACTGCCCACGATCAATGTGCATCGCCCACGAAGTAGTTTTGTGAAACTTTGCCCAACAAGGCTTGAGCCGAAAAGAGGGAGAAGGGGGGCGGCACCACGGGAAGGGGGCACACTCGCTTCAAGCAGCGAAACCGGTTTCCAAGACATGGGCCCTCTCTGGGTAGAGGTGGATGAACCCATTGATATCAAGAGGAAAGAGATTGCTCTCGCGGTAGAACCTTCAGAAAAAGGTACAGGCACATTACCCCCTCCGTGATTGCCAACAAACCACGCCCTCAGGTTCCACTTCACGGTCGCCTCGAACTTTTGTACCAAGAATGGCCCAAGAATGTCCCTTTGTCGAGTGCGTGACCTCATGGAGACGCCCGCCCAGTCGCGTGCGGGACTCCCCGAGGCCATTGGAAGCGGTGTGACACACCGGGAACCGGTACGGGGGGCGGTGGTGTATTGAGCGTAAGCGGTACGTAGTACGTGGAGTCGACCCATGGTTGAGTATATACTTGGGTGGGGATCTGTGGGGCGAAGGATGAACAAGTCCTCGAAAGTTCCGTGTTTCGGGGAGTTGGACAGCATGCATTCTGGAGGGGGTTTGATGAGGGAGGAGGAGAAGAAACAAGAATGGAGTCTGCTACCACAGCACCCTGCTCGCTGAATTGTCTGGGGGAACAATGCAAGAGATATCTGGCTACACTCTGATAGCAACATGGACGTGCGATGTCCACTTCCATGTTTGTTGGCTGGCTGGTTGTGCTCTTTTACAGGCGAGCCAACCCGTACAACGGTCACCAATTTTTTTTGCCTTTGCGCAGTCGTTGGTTCCGGCTAAGCCGGTTAATGTGGGGAATGGAAATCCCAAGAAGGCTCCTCAATGACTCAAGCAAGTGTAATTTATTTACAATCTGAAGTTCTAAAGCATTTTGGAGCTATCTGAAGTGTTGATCAATTATTATCAATTTGAGGCATGCTTTAATGATGGGAATCCAGACCAGCCATGCAAGGGGTGCTTTCCAAGCAAGCGGATTGGAGTCCATTCTGGGTGGTTCTTGAGTGAGACGCGATGGCCTATGCCTTGAGCAAACCACTCTGGCACTCTGGTAAAAGCGGGTGCTGTTGGGCACTCGGATGCATCCTAGGTCCACTTTGATCGTGGCATCGTTTTTCAGGTTTCGGCCATGAAAGCAATGTTTTTGCGGGAAAGCCTTGAGTCAACTACTCCCCTACTCAGCCCTCGCGGCTGCAAAATCCATCTATAAGATTTCTACGAGCGATCTTAGCAAGCCACGGGCGCAGGTTTCAAGAAGAAGCACGTAAGACTATTGACTGTGGGGAGAGGCCCCGCCATTTTGCGAAAACGCACTCTCTCTCTCTCTAACATGTCTTCAACTACCTTTGGACAAAACATGTCTTTATACTCCGGCATAGTCAATTTTAGAAGAAATGTGTTGAATATTTCACCTTAGAAGGTGCCCTTTTTTGGTGGTACAATGTCGTAACATGTTCCTTAGCTAAACTCCCGATCCGATCCAAGAAGAGAAACGGGATCGTCAGTGTCTCCATCGGTGAAGTGTGTAGCTCTCTGATGAGTTGCTGATACAGTACTTTCCCCCAACCTTGAGATACTCCTTTCCAAGATTTGGTTAGACAAAAACTGCCCCAACAGCACTCAGAGGCAAAGCCAATGTCACACCTTTGGTGTGACATGCGACCTGTCCATCAAGTCCAAGATCACCGACTCAATTCACGACGATATAACACCACCCATCCAACGGCGAAAGAAATAAACTGTCTCAGAAGTGAAGGTCATGGGGCGAGTTGCACAGCCACACCCTGCCGCCGCGCGTCCTCGCCACGCCTCAAATGCGATTGGAGCCCTGCGCATGAAGCACCTCTTCGCCGGCATCCATTCCTTAGGCCCGCCGGAACTGCCCAACACAAGCAACCAACACTGTAACACTGGGCTGGCGCGCACAGGCGGAAGACATTGGGAGGAGTCTTCCCCCCCCCCCAAGGTTGGAGATTCCGGACCACCCCCGGCATTGTCCCTACGTCTCCGGTCCGCGACACCGTCGCACCCCCCCCCCATGCGTCGGAACCAGCGCGCCGGTGTCCGAGCCGTCCGAGCCGCGGAAGAGTCGCAGGTGGTTGGCCATCGACCCCCGTCGCAGGAGCTTCGGCCTCGCGGCGGAGGGCGACGGCGCGGGAACCCGGCGGAGCGACGCCGGCGGAGCGGTGGGAAGAGGTGAAACCACCAGACCAAACGGCCGGTGGAAGGATTCGGCCACATGCGCCCTCAGGCTGAGACCTGCACGCAGGTGAAAAAAGAGATGATATATAATATAGAGAAAAGGTTTATATATATATATATATACGTTGAACTTCCTCAGAGTGATTCTTTTCGATCTGCGGCGGCAAAAACCTCTTTTGGAGTCACAGCCTTATATTTGAGTCTGCGGATGTTTCTCTAGTTTTCTGATTTTTTCTGATATTCCACGGGCGTTTATACACAAGCTAGGGCATTTATTGGTGAGCCAAAGGCGTTTTTACCCGAACTAAAGAGTATGTTTTCTTTCGGTTGCGGATGTTTATGTGGTTCACAGACCTAAATATAGGTATGTTGAACCACGATCACCCAAAAAATAAAGGAAAGCAACCACGAGGTTGCAGGTATAGACTGTTTCGCATCATCGATTGGCCTGGCATGAGGTTTCCTGGTGAAATATCACATTCAAATCTATTTCAACTTCCGGAATGTCGTGGAAAGGGCGGTGTCTGCATCCATTGGACAATGGATTCAGAACCAAATGATGTTGATTATATAGTAAACCCCGCCATTTGAATTGGAAATCCTCTTCATATGGAGCTCATTAATCGAGAGTCTACATTGACGTCCGCAGAAGCTTGATCCAGAAATCTGATGACATCAGCTGGTTTCTTCGCGGAAGCTCTGGTCCCTGCCACACAGACTCCAGACTTCTCACGTTAAAAAAATCAACGAACGACGTGGGACCACAGAGACCGTGGGTGACCGATGCGTGAGCCCCGGACTGCCCTGGCCTGGAGTTGGAAGTAGTTCTGGTATGATGCACCTGCGAATCCGAACTACACCGCGGTTCCGGGCTCCACGGACGAGATGGTGAGTTCGCCAGGTCTTCCATCAGAATCGGTTGGGAGTTCGCCCGGGGCCCGGGAGGACAAACTCGAGTGGAGACAGTGAGGATGAAGGTGCTGCTGCTGCTGGTGGTGGTGATGATGATGACCAGTCAGGGTATCGAAAAAACAAAAGTGTGCAGCTGCTAGTGGAACAAGGATCTTGAAGTGTTTGGGAAAGACCTCATCCCCATCCTGCTGCACAGTGCGCCAGAAAAAAAATAAAACAAAAAAGCATGCAATCGTGCATAAACATCCATACATCGACTAGGTCTTCATGTGATCAACTCCTTGGCAACAGCCGCCATGGATTCCGGACACTGATCGACGAATCGCCGGACTGTAGGAGTCCGTCCACACTCCCCGCGTCGAGTCCACACTCCCTGAAAAGATCATGGAAGTGGAAAACCAGCTGTTTGTAGAGGAAGATGGTCATCCAAGGGGCATGATGGGCATGATTCTTTCAGGGACACCTGGACTCTCCTGTGGCAACAAGGCTTCAGGACGTCCAGCGGCACGTTGCACGTGTCCTGACGCCTCCTCCAGGATCTTCAGAATGTCGGACAACTTGTCATGCAGGTGCGTCAGGTCCTGGGGGCGTGGTCGGCCCAATCGGCAGGGTGTTGCTGGAGAGAACTTCTGCCAAGCATCCGCTTGCATCGCCACTTGGTCAATAGCACGAGCAGGTCCTGGCTTCAACATGATCCTGAACTCACCTTGGTGTCCCTTTTTGCCCCGCATCCCTCTCAAAAACACATCCAAAAGACCAAGACTTGATCTCGCCCTCCCGTCCGCGCGGACGCGGACGCTCGCCCTCGCCGGACTCGTCGGTTCCGTCACCGTTGGTGGACGGTCCGTCAGTGGGTGGAGGTTTCTGTGCTTTTCCTTCCGTAGCCCTTCACTATCTCAGCCAATTCGTGGGCAGAGGACAGATACAGTATTGTTTTGCTACAGTAATGGTGTCCTCCTTTTTTTGTGAGGGAAAGGACCATCATGCAGTGAACGGAGTCGCAGTGAGAATTACATGGACAAAGGGCACCAGTCCTTTGCATCTCAGGATTCCATCAATGAATTCTTCCTTGGATTTGCCCGAAGGAACCTGGGAAAATGACATAAAAATACATATATAATTATATATATATATACGTTACGAGTAGAACTCTTGTGTGATTGTTCACGTCGACAAAGTCAACATATGTTCTTTTTCTGTCTTTTCTATTCACGCATGTAAATTCCCTGGGGCGGGTTCACAAACGGGAGAAAAATACTAAGCAAAACCAGGCTTCTCTCGTTACTTCGCCATCCCCATTATCCTTGGCCAGTGGGCAATCATGCGGGCACCACGTTCAAAAGCAGCATAAAACACGGCGCCATAGCAGGACGGCAACATGCTAAAAACAGGGAAGCCTCAAAACAGGCGAAGTGACCACACTCAAATAGCTTCTCTGTCAAACGGGATGGCTCGCTTGACCCGTGCTTCCCCAGATGGTAAACACAAACATCTACGGAACCTTGCAGGTCTTGGAATGGTTTCACCTGTGCTGTCATGAATCAGGCCCCGCTCACTCCCACCTTGGATTGTTGTCCCCACCCACTAAAGGGATTACTTACAGGTGAAAATTGCCCAAATCAAGTGGCATCCTGGGCCGTACCCCCACCCTTCCCGACAGCGTTACGACACGTTCCGCCAGGCGGCTAGAATGTGGAACAACGCAGCTCCTTTCAGAAAAAAAAGGACCAGCATGGAAGACAAATATCTATAAAATAGTATATATATATTATATATATAAGCGACATTAGAAAAGCAAAGGAACTCGTTGGATTTGTCTACCAACCTCTGTAGAAGTAGGGGATCATGGACTCTTCCCCCCCCTATAGGCTTTCCTGTAGAACGACTCTATGAAATTGGATGTGAATGTGTCTGAGTTGCCCAGTTTTTGGCTTCTCGGGATCCATGTCTTTCACGTTGCTCCGACAGAGAAAACCCGAAAACGGCTCACCCGGAACCATTCTCGCCGGTCTCGGAGGGGGCCAACGAAGGTGAAAACGGTCCCGTCGCAACCACCCACCTTCGTGCACATCCACCTCGAGCGTCTGGAAGTAGGCCTTCACCTGCTGGAGAATGAGAGGCCCCTTGAAGATGTTGATCGTACCGCTTTGATTGCACTGCAGTATGTTGACTCATGCAAGTGCATAGTAAAAGCAAGTGTTTATTGATGCAAGTGTTGGCCCGCATCGTCGAGTTGATCCCTGTGGCGCACAGATAAGAATCTGCCAACCAGACGATCCCGTCTCTACACCACTGGATCTGCAGAAGCTTCTGAAAACATAAGCATCCAACAACTCACAACTCACAACTCACAACACATTTCTTCCTTGTTGGCTGAGAGTTCCGACTATATATATACATAAAATGTTCTGAACTAACTCCTCACCTCCTAAGCAACAAGATGCAATAGGCCAAAAGACGGCAGAGGTTCTCTTCCAATCACCGCTGTGAGCCGGATCCTTCACAACTGGAGAAGAATCATCAGCTTTAGAGTGCTAAAGGAGCGTGTGCCTCCAGCGATCCCAGACACCGAGCACCCGCGCCCCCCCTTTTCACCTCCTCGTGTCACCTCCTCAGTGCCCCCGTCACCCGGAGTGCCCCCGTCGTACCCGGGTGACCTCGGGTACTTGGAGGATCTCGGACATCCGCTGTTGGGTGATCATGCCTCGCAGCAGCTCATCGTCGAGGGGGAAGCGGAAGGTCTGTTCCCTGGATGACAAATGGATCATTACACCGGTATAGACCCCAAATAGCGTGGGGGGGATAAACTCACAAGGCGTACTTATGTGCTACTCCACTGGAGCAAGCAGGGCTTCCGAAAGTGATGCAAAAGCGTCAGGGACGGCTCCAGAATACAAGTTAAGTTGCAACCAGGGGCCGGCTGTAGAGCCACAGCGTTTCAGGTCTCCAGGCAAAACCCCCCCAAAAAAAAAAACGAACACGTCACTCCTCACACTCCCGATCCTCTGCTGAGCCCGGCTCGGGCTTCCAGGTCGGCCCAACAGTTCGAGGTGCCATTCCCGACTTCATCGATGGCGCAAAAAATCTTCTCCAGCTTCTTGACCTCGCGGTTCCCGGTCGATGGCCAAGAACCGAACAGACCGGGAATCCCCAGATCCGATCGGATTCTGAGCGTTCGAGACCAGCATGCTGATGCGGTACTCATGCGCATCTCTGATGCAGAGCCCTTTGCCTCTTCAAAAGGCTTTGCCGAGGAAATGGGGATCCCAAAACCATGAACCTCTCGAATCTCTTAGATCTCTTTAACTTCCCAGCTGCAACTCCTTGTCGCAAAGTTTCAGGTACACCCGCAACCTGCAGAGACCTCCGCTCCCTTTTCGGTCCGCTCAAAGAGGCATCGTCACTCACCGCAGCTTTCTCCTCTTGAGCTGCTCGTCCTCTCCTGGCAACTTCTCTTTGGATGCCAGCGCCTCCACCAATCCCACGTAGACCTGGTTCCAGGCGTCTTCATAAATGCCCCGAATACATCCAGCCTTTCTTGTCCGGAATGCCATTAAGAGGCAAGTAGTTATAAAGCAGTCCTGTGAAGTAAGTTCCCTACAATACTTGAATCAGAAAATGGAAATCACTTAAGGTCCCAGTCAAAAACGCGCAGATAATCGTAGTTTTTAGTCGTTGCTCATCTTCAAAGTTTGCTCGTCTTGCCTCAATGCCCGCCAAGAAGATGTCCACCGGCAAATACTCATTATGCTCGTGCAGCAAAATGGGGCAGTTCTTCATGGGAGAGAAGCCCAGGGCTGGGATATGCAGCTCTCCTGAGAGAAAAACCGGTGCGCATCAGCCCTGGCACATACCACATCTACATGGTGTCACCAGGAGGGAAAGGTCCAGCCCCCATCGCCATAGCAGGCTCTAGGCTGGGGATTCAGAGCACCAATTTGTATCTCACATGGGAACAAGAACCGGAAACTTCAAGATGAAGACTAAACATCCAAGAAGAAGAAGAAGAAGAAAAAGAAGAAGAAGAAGAACTTCATCTGCTCTCCGAGGAAATCGCACCCTTCTTCACCTCTGCCAGCACCCTAGCCAAGCGTCGCAGGAAGCGCGAGTCGGTGGCCGCCGGGAACACTTCCGGCTCCACCTTGTGATTCATCGAGGCCATGGCTTCGCTGAAGGCCACCCACCAGGGATTCGACTCGTCGGTGGCCGTGACGAAGTGCTCGGACAAAGGACGGGTCCAGGGTGCGAACTGCCAGACCACGCCTTCATCTTCACACCTGGGCCGGATCTGATGAATCGAAGCCCGCAGCCGGCAGCTCCTCTGCTCCGCCCGGCCCAATTCAGGTGGAGTAGATTGTTGCCAGGACCTAACCTTCCTCTTGCTTCAGGACCAGATTTCTAGAAGAGGCGTCCCACTGAAAAAAATCACAACAAAATCTTAAGATCCTAAAGCAATCCGGGTAAGAGCAGCAGGGTGACTCGCCAGCTTGCAGTGGTTCAACGAGAAAACATGTTCTTGGGCCGCCAAGTGCAGGAAAGGGGCCACTTGTCCAACAAGGCCTGAAAATCCTTGGGTGCCAGATTGGGTGTGATGCGGACGTCAAAGCCGGCCTCTGCTTCGGTGGGAATCACGTTCAAACAAAAGGTCTTGCCATTGTCATTGGACACTCCTGTGCGCAACATGGTCAGATTGAGCGTCGTCACATCGCCCAGCTTTTTGGCGGTGCCATGCTTGCAGCCTTGGCATCGGCACTTGTGAATGCCAACACATGCCAAGTTCCCTAGCACACACGGGCCCGCATCTTGCCGTCTTGAGCGCTTGCCGGCCTGTTGGCTTGCTGAAGCACAGGTCAGGCTTTTCGGGGAGTCACCAACTGACAGGGAAGTAAGTACACGAGTCACTGCTGTTTGTGGTGAGCCCCCATTGTGTTTGTCACACTCTTCCAATCGCGCATTCATCCAATGTCATCTCCTTGTCATCTCTCATCTTCACTGTGTCGCCTCCTCTGTCTTCCATGCAACATGGGGCCCGTAGTTTTAGCCCATCCCCGCACTCTCCACTATGGCTCCACAATGGGGCACACTGCGAAGTTCACCCAAAATGAAAAGCATTGGCCAAAACCTCCACAACATCTGTATAGAGGTGCATTGAAAATGAAGTAAGCCCATCAGCACTTTGCACTTCAGAAGCTCTCCCAATTTCAATGTCACCACCCCCCTTCATGCCCGACCTAAGGCCCTGCATCTTTTTCGCCATCCCTGCAACCCCCCCGCCCTCCATCCTCTTCGCCGAGAGCGCCATTCTGATCATGCCCCAGCGCCTCCTCCTGCGCTTGGCGGAAGGCCAGCGCACGCTCGGCCATCCGCAGCAGCTTTTGCGGCGCCGTCTCCTTGATGAACCGTGACCCGTGGCCTGGGCGATGTCCGCACCGCCGGACGTGCTCGCTGGACCCAGTCGTGCCGCGGTCTCAGAGATGAAGCGACCAAACACGATGGAAAGGCCGTTCCACCGGTGTTGAAGCTGTTGAAGCCCATTGCTGAATCGTCCAAAACCCATGGTTTTTTACCTCATGTGTCCTGTAAATGCCCATGCCAATCCATGCTCACCAGCGGCTAGTGCATGGCTCACCACCGAAACCCGCCCTTCTCCCCCTTCCAAATCTGCCTCCCTCCAAATTTCACTCTGCCTCGCCTGTGGGCCCACTGGCTCTCACCAGGATCCACCAGGGCGTCCGCTCACCATAAAACACGGTGAAGGCATCTCCTGGGTTCGCCAGACCCTCATCCAGCGCCAAACCCAGCGTGCCCAAGGCTTGAAACTCCGCTGTCTTCAGCAATTCGCCCATGCCCTCCACACCGCCCACCTCGGAAATCCAAGGACGACACTCCTGCTTCGAAGCATTCAACATGATTCAACTGCGGAGCGTGGACCCTCCAAAAAAAAAACAGCAAGTCCAAAGGACGGGTTAAACTGGTGCGTTGACCCACTGGGTATATATATATATATCTCTGTGTGTGTGTGTGTGATTTTGGACTACTTATACAAGCTTAAATTCCAGTGGCATGGTCTTTCGCATCACCCTCGGCCCACCACTCGGCTGTGCCTCCTCATCCGGGACGAAGCTCAAGTGCACTGTGCGCTCTGGCATGAAGTGTTTCTTCTTTAGCCGCTCAATGGCCAACAGGTACTGGACACACACAGACTTCATGTCTTGTGTGCCCCGCCCATAAATCTTCCCATCTTTGATCTGGGCTGCCCAGGGGTCCACGGTCCAAAACTCCTACCATCGAGGAACGGCATGCGACAACGTGAGGATTTGACACAGTGCAACCGATCATAGAACTTGCACAAGTGAGTGTCTGGAGTGCCCTCTTCCTTTGGAGGTACGTCAATTGGACAATTTTCTCAAACTCCAAAATCCTCCACCGGGACGCAAGTGTTGGTTCCACGCCCCAAAAGACTTTCCAGGCTCCAATTTCCATAGCTTTCCATAATTTCCATGGTGATCAGTCTCCATAATGTCCATAGGTGTGGGAAACTGCTTTTGTCGGAGACCATTTGGAAAGTTTGGGATGGCGACGTTCGACCAATGGCCAACCACTCAAACATCTCAAACCATCTCAAACCCATTGCGTGGTGCACACAAAGCTTTGGCGGTTCGACTTCGCGATTGGTGGATTAGCTTCTGGATCCCCCGCGTGCCAGTGGACCCCGGCCAAATCACAAATACTGGAAGAGAACTATTACAAATTATTTATACAGCTGACAGCTTACCAACAACACTGGACTAAACAGATCTACAATCTACAGATTCCGCCTCCCCCCCAAGTCAATCCACAGATCGGATATCCACGGCCGCCTCCATCGCCGGTACCACGTCGTAGTGGGAGTTCAGCAGCAGCGCCGGCAGCGAGGGATCCCGGCCCGGCCAGGTGGCCAGGAGAACCGGTTTGCCCTTCACGGGTTCCACCTGCTGCGTGGCCAAGCCCACTCGATGGCAGAACCTGCGCTGTCTGTGTGGCGCAGTGCGGCTCTGAGTCCGGCACCTGGGGTTCTGAACTAGAAGAACCTGGGCTTGGCCAGACCAATGGCAGACAAGCGAGTTGAGTCGCTGTTCCACATGTGACTGCACATGTCCCCACACCCATTGCACATGAAGAAGCTTCGTCGACACCTCTGCGGGAATTGTAGAACCAACCGATAAGTGTGTTGACAATCTTGAAAAGAAGGCCACCCTAGAGTGCAAATTCTGGGACTCGCCAGGCCACCGCTTCAGCCACTGCACGGCCACTGCGTAGGAGCCGCCCGGCCCTTCGCCCGAAACGCTCCGAATGCGGAGGAACTCCTGGGCAACGTTGCACACTGGAGGACAAACCTGGAGCCCTTTAGTCCTTGTTCGAGGTGATTGTGAAGAGTCATGGAACAAGGAGTCTCGGATTTCGATCTGCAAACGCATCCGTTTGCCTCAACAATCTAGAGAAACAGGGACTTGGACAGTCTTTTGGGTGGAAGAAGGCCACCACAACGGTCCCCAACCAATCTGCTTCACCGGTCCCGGAAGAGCTCCACGGGGTCGTCGGGCAGGCCATTCGCCGCCATGAGCCGGCGGGGTGGGGTGAACTCCACCGACAAGCTGGGGGCCGGTGGACCCAAAAGGCTACGGAAAAGAGAACGACACGAAATGTGTAAAGCGAATCCCCTCAAAGCACGACAAGGCTCGCCCCGTTCTATCAAGGATCCTCTCGGCCCCAGTTGAGCTGGTCGTTCAAGTGCTGTCATGAACCATCCTGTTTTGGGGGCTCCCGGTGCTACCGGTCCAGCCAACCACCGGTGGCATGTCCCAAACAACCGCAGTGTCGGTCAGACTTGCAGGAGCTGGACCAAAAAGCCGTTGAAACGATTTAGAAGTTGGACCCCCCCCAAAAAAAAAAAGTATCCGTGCATACTGCATACCAAACTACTTATCCCAAATAACCATTTGGGAACCCAAATAGTGAATCATCCTGTAAAGAAACCTGTTACATAACTACTTCAAAAAGTGAAGCATTTGTTTGGTTGTTCTCCTGTCGGGTCACCCTTTTGACAACGCAAACCGACTTGACTAGTCGAGGGTCATTGACATGGAAACGCACAGCCATGAATTCTTGAAACAACCACGCTGTGTCACACCATCTGCAGGCACTTTCGAAACAAACGCAATGGGGGTTCCATGTAGATGCCGCGATGAAGAAGTTGAATGAACGCCCTCACACGTCGCATCGTAGGCACTTTTGCTGCTCGTCTGAGCGCCGGACATACTGTGCCTTCTTCTGGAGCTTCTCCTGGCGAGGGAGCATTCAGTGGAACAAGTCGGAGGCCAAGAACACCTGCCCACATTACACAAGATCGAAATTGAAAATATTGAACCCCTGCATGTTGGACCTACTGCAGTTTTATGAGGTTATTCCGTGCTGGGTGAGCTCAAATACATAGCGCAATGGGAAGTGCCGGAAGCTGGACAACATTTCTTCGTTTGTCAAGCGCAGTCCTCACACGCGCAAAGTGGGGAGGTTGACAACGACTCATGGTCCCCGTACGAGGGGCATACCCAGAAAGCATGAGGCATGCAAAAGGATGAAAAAAGGTTGGCGGCTATTATCTTAAGAGCCAGTAGGTTTGGTGAGCAAGCGTGGTGTGGAACAAATGTTGGTACTGCTCAATCACTGGACAGTGCCGCTGACACCTCATGCTTCCGAGACACAACCACCAAATGCTCGGCATCATTGCTTGCAGCATCCAGCGTGTCCTTCAAAAAGATCGCTGTGATAACCTTGCGTGTCGTCGTCATCCTCATCATCAACATCATCACCACCACCACCACCACCATCATCATCATCATCATCGTGGAGGTGCATTGACGTTGCCCGTAAAGGTCCATATCGACACCGACACGAGAGCGTGTGGTTTCATCCTATCCCTTCTTCAGGTGAACAGCGCCGAAAATCAACTGTCAATTTATGCCACAAGGTCAAGACCATTATATATGACTTATAAAACCATATGCCTCCAATCAAGTCAACATGTTCCAAACAAGCGGGGTTCTTTCTCTTGCTTGATCACTGAGCAAACCGAAATGATTTCTTGATCCGCCACGTCTGGGATCGTTTGATCATTCACATCGTTTGATCATTCACATCTGGCGGTGCATTTCTGGACCCAGAAAAATCCAAGCGGCTCGTATGACCGCGAACACTATGAGTGTTATGTACAGCAGGAAAAATACCGCGAAGTAGCTGCTCCTCAGTGACGGAAAGCTGCGATGCGCACTGTTCAAGCAGCTCAATATGTTCAGAAAGACCGAAAGTTTTCTATCAAAGATGGTGACGAGACAAAGACTCCGTGGCTGTGGTACCAAGGAAGTTTAAGTCGATGTCTCCAAGGGTCAAGACCTGTCCCAGGTGAAATCAACAAGTCTGGAGAAAGGAAACGATATAAAGACCGAAAGCATGCCACATCTTACCGGTCACTGTGATCTTGAACACGTCCTGTCGTCGTGCTGAATGTGCCGGGCTGTGCCAACATCTTTCACCAAACTGACGCCGTGCGTCATTTCAGCCTTGCCAAGGTACCCTGAAGCCCTGGACTCCCCAAGTCTGCCCCAAGTGCCCGGTCAACATCCCACATCGCAGCAGCGTTCTGCCCTTTTTAACGCCACCCAAAATTCACGCAAACTACTAACTATTATGTCTATATCCATTACCGGCCCTTCCTCAAATCCACTTGGCGCAACTTCTTCAATGTGACAGTTTCTGGCGGGCACTGGCGCATTGCGGCTACGATTGAAGGTGTGATGGAACGCGCGCGTCAACTATGACTACAATGACAACCATGGAAAATGAACCAATTTTTCTGGCCACCATCGCATCATGTTTGGTTTGTTTTGGCATCTAGCTGCTCTTGGCCCTTGGATGACCATGTGCCCCACAAACAAACGGTTTTCTTCCATGTCAGTGATTCACGACGCAGGTTGCAGTTCGTGTGCCCCGTCACTCCCCCAAACCCATCACCAGCCACACGGTCACTTGACACCCTCATCCACGCAGCGACAAAACCTCCGGCGCCGAGTCACACACCGTCGATCACGGGTCTGGCATATGTTGGCCAATTCCTCGGTGTCACGAGGGTCCTTTTTTTCAGAGCAGTGGGCCACCATCACAACCCACCATGAGATGGGAATGAACGCCGCAGCCCACCACAATCAACCCAAAATTACAACTGTGCTTCACCGTGACCAACTGGTGCAGGACGTCTTCCAGATTCGACATGGGCCAACGGGATGCAATGCGTGAACAAAGGGGCCAACGGAAACCGACAATCTGACCAAAAAAGGTGCCTTTCATCGGCCACCATGCTGTGCCAAATGGTGCATCAACTGCAGCTCAGGAACCCTGCAAACGTTATCTCATAGAGAGTGTACATCGCACGCAGGGCTGTGCCTTAGGACATGGACAATGCAAACTTATTCTTGCAGCCTACTCCCGTGACCATCAGGGGCGGAGGCAATGTTGAAAAGAACCGTTTCCAGTACCACCACAATAACGTACAGCGCTCCAATTCTATCCCACGACCGGACAGTAAAAGGTGCTTCTTCGAGCAATGGCGCTAAAAACCTTCAACTTCAATCACTTGCTGGAGGTGTCTACCCTCAGTTGGCCAAATCGATTTGTCACTTCTTGAAGATCAGAACAATGTGCCAAGACTCACTTTTGTTCAAAACCTGGCGCCCAAAGCTATGCGCGCCATTAGGGCTTCAGCAGGCTGAATGCGGTGGGGACGGGCGGACCGTTGCTTTGACGATCGACGCAACTTAGCACTTGAAGATCAATCTGTCCAACCTTTTGATCGGTCAAAAAATGTTCTGGGTTCTGTTCCTCTTTCTGGGGTGTGACCCCCTTCCAGCGCAAAAGGTGAGCAACAGCGCCAGAAGAGCCTCCATCAAGCCCCCAGTCAAGGTTCTCAACCTGGTTGGACTGGACCGCCTTTCCATTCTAGCTGCGCCACCAGCGATATCAATGTATCTGAACCTTCAAGCAAGCCAAAACGCTCGGGCAGGCAGGAGGTAGCAAGAAAACAGAAGCTCTTTGCCGTGTTTTGCCTCTTGGTCCAGATGCCCAAGACAAGCTCACGAACCGGCATTGGTAAATGTTCCGTCCGTGTGTGATCGAACCGACCTTAGGTCGATGCAGAGGGACTTGCTTTGCTCTTTTTGATGCGCACAATCGTACAGGCTTTGCTTTTCCTGCAAGCTGCCGGAGTTCTCATCAAACTGAAGTTCATGGAAGTAGCCGTTCACATTGCCCCTGTTTTTGCTCTGGGATTTCGCTTTGGCGTTCCCTTTTAAGTTTCCCTTGGAGTTTAAGTTGAAGAACTCCATCATGTGGCCCATTTTTCCGGAACCTTTACTTTTGGATTTTCCCTTGTAGAAGGCCATGGTGTCATGGGAGTCTTCGTGGGACGTGTGAAGATTCTTCCCATAGCCTTTGCTCTTTCCATGGCACGCATGTCGGTCAGGACAGTCTGATTTATTCCCCCCACAGTTGAAGCAACCTCTTTGGTTGGATGATTGGCTGGTTGGAGGTTGAGCATGAGGTTGTCGGTGATGCGGGGCTTGTTCATCAAACAGGAGCATCAAAGCAAAGCTGAACTCACTGAGTCATAGTCCAGCTGGTCTTTTGGCGCTTGCCAAGATCGAGCGGCATTCCTCAGCGTTCGGGGCCGCACCACTCAAAAGCCGCAATCCTCGAAGCTGAGCCGGACCTCGTCGAAGGTGCCCTGATGCGGATTCAACAGGATCTCCAGGATCAGGATCATCTTGTGGAACCTTCCCCTTGGAACGCGAGCCACCCCATGAAGAACCACCATCCTCATCCTCATCATCGTCGGTGTCTGGGTCGATGCCGTCAAAGAGGAAGTCCATGGTGGGTCCATCCTTGATGTCCATCAACGACTCGAGGAACGCCTCAAAGAATAAGGTCTCGCGGACCAAGTAGGCACTGATGCTTTATGAAAGCTTTCGTCGCACAAGGGGCAAGCTCTCCAACTTCTTTTATCATGACCAGCACCCCATTGGATCCTGCTATGTCTGTTCGGTTCCAATACATAGCAAGCAAACGAGTGGGGCAGGCAAGCTTGGACACAAGCCGTGGGCCAATCAATCAATGACCGCTGTTTTTTCTTGGTGCCCAAGACATACCATGAAACTTTTCCTGGATTCTCGTCCCATGAGGGAATCGTTTCAGCCGTTCGTTGAGCAGAAGCCGTTCCCTGAGCCGAAGATCACCAAGTCCTTGTTGAGCCGCGAGGTTAAACTGATGAGAGGGATCCGGTTCAGGCTCCAGATCTGATTCAGCTCGAGTCACTCAAGTGGCCGGCTCAGGCTCTGGCTCTTCCCGTTCAGGGGGTAGGTAAGATCTCCTCAAGGTGTCCAGGATGAAGCACAGGCGAAGACCCAACCAGGAGCGCTGGAGCGAACCAGTCGCTCCGCTACCAATGCAGTAGCAGGAGTGCGCAACCACCCAAAAAGAATGCCAAACAGAAGGCTATCAAGTAGTATGGCTCAAGTGGGTTCAACACAAATGCCCGTGTTACAGGCAAGATGGACAAAAACCTCGCCAACCCAAGTGGCGAACCCTTTCTAGCTTGAGCGCGCCAGTGCCTCAAGGCCTCCGGAAAAGAGGGTTTCCTCAAAACACATGTCATGACTCAACTGTGGTGGCCCTGCCGCAGGAGCCCAATCCATGCACTTGTGCCTTCAGCAACGAATAGGTGCATCATCGTTAAAGAGGCGGCCTCATGTCACATGTCTACCAACTCTCCTTTTGGAATCCAGCATCCCTTTCACCTCAAGTTTCACCCCAAAATTGTGCTTTTCCCCCAGGCTCCGAGCGGCCGTAATGTTGCCAAATCCACTCGCGAGTGTCAAAGTCCTGTCCCTGATCTGCGATGAATTCCTGCAGCCTCGGCGGGAACCCGAAGAACCAACCACGTCAGAGGATTTTCGGGTCAAGTGGGGGCGTTGTGGACTTGCTATCGGGTTTGATCCTGGTATTCATGTTGCCTTGACAACACGGGAGAATCACACCTCATTGACGTCTGACTGGCGACCTTGGTCCCATGTGAAGCTCGTCAAGATGCTGGCTCCACTGGTTCCACAAACGTCCGGAAGCCGTCAAAAAGGAGTGAAGGGTTGGGAAGCCAAAGGCGCAAGAACTTGGTTTTCCAGGCCACATCACTGGTGTCTCAACGAGGCCACAGAACAAAAAGGCTCCGCGCAACGGAAGGCAACACGGAATCCACTTTGTGCTTATGAGACCCCACGAATCACCCCCTCCCAGAAAAAAGCAGCCTCCTAGCTGCTCTAGCTGCAACCCCGAATGTCACCCCCCAAACTGTGGGAGTTCCTCACTCCGCCTTCGCTTTGCCGGCCAGACGCATGTTCCCCAGCATCAGGGCCCCCATCACCATAAAAATTCCCAGGAGAACCATGGACCAACATAGTGATGGCAGAAATGAATAGCCTCGGCTCGTCAGCTCTTCAACAAAGGGATGCACCCAGGTGAAGAAAGGGTTAAACATGCGCCGCAGACTGAACTATTGAGACCTACTGATGGAAAGGCGGGCTCGAGATGATGATCATGGACCTGGACCGAAAAAGAATGGAAAAGAAGAACACCTGTCGAAGCATCGTTTTATATCGTTTTGGTTGGGGCTGCAGTCGGAGACAAGTTCGTCTCCGGAATGCAAACCTTCTGAAAAATCACATGCGCCAAGACATGTGCACGTGCTAAGACAGTCGGCAAGATGTCGGCCTCAACTCGATAGTCGATGGTGTGACTTTAACTTCGGATTTCAATATGCAGTCTGGCGCAGCTGATGACTTAGAAGACCAGTTTCCGGAAAAGAACATGCCATTGCCCTCGTCCCTGTTCCGGTGGCACTGCAAGTCCACAGCATTCACTTCCCAGTGCAGAGCTCTAGAAGAAACTAAAGGACCGGAGCATTCTCATCTGTGTGCCAGGCAGATAGTAGTCTTCTTAGAACCCACAGCACAACAACGAAGCAATAAGACTTACATAGTCATCGTCGGTCAAGCTCCGGTAAAGCTCGTTGATTTCCACCGCCTGGTCCGGCCCAACGCCCAACGCCTGTGCCGAAATCGGCCAGATCACATGCCTGGACCAGGACCCGCAAGCCTCGGAAGAGCCTTAACGTTCTCCTGGGCGAAGCGGGAGAGCGCAGGATCGCGCGCGATCGGAAGGTCGGGAGAACCTGAAAACCGGCGGACGGTGCGGTTGCCGCGTCATGGCACCGCCAAACTAGAGGCATATTAGAAAATGGACCAGAAATATATATATATACTTTAAACGCTGGTGGAGCTCCTGCAAGCTCCCTGATTAGAATACATGTCCCATCATTATGGATGAAACATTATGAACTAAACATTTGTTGGCATCACTCCGTTGAAGAACGTGAAAACGGCCATGTCGTGGCGCGAGATGCTTGGAAGTTCGAGTGTAGAAAAAAAACAGTGGACTCCAGTTCTGCGCGCCGGGCTCCATCAGAGAAAGGAAGAACACAACGCCAAAAAGAACTCGTCTCTTCTGAAAAGCAATTGGCCCAAAAAATGCAGTAAGTTCATTTTTCTGAGCAGCTTGCACAACATAGCGGTGCGGTGCCCCAAACAAATAGTTGATGAGCACAAGAGCTATCTATCATACCCCCCCAAATTGAGAAACCAACTGTTCTCCGGTTGCCAAATCAGTGGGGAACCTGAGGTCCAAGTGCTTTACTCAAGGAGGCAAAATTAACCTGGCAGCAAATTGGGGGTGACAGTCCTCCCCGCAGCAGGTTCACCACGTCGTCCCCATAAAAGACTAGACATGAAACCGCGGAACCCCGCCGGGCATGAGCACCAAAAGGGTGGCGATTGGATGTTGTTTTCATATTTTGCTCTTTTCCTCCTTCAAATCTACCAACTCCTGTCCAACAAATCGATTCTGCACCGCACTCCCGAACCTTATCACCCCTCTCCGCGCCCTCTTCGGGCCAGGCGTCACCATGCGGATGGCCCTCATGGATTTCACCGCCCGCGCCAGGCGCAACAGAATCATCTGATCGGTCGCTCCACCTGCGTCGCTCCGGACCGGATCCTCGACCACGGCGGCAACGACGGGGGGTGGGAGGAGGTGCCGCAAGGGCAGGTGCGTGGAGAAGGGATCAGAATCCGTAGCTGGCATATTCAGCAGTTCGACAGAATTCCACTCCCAAGTTGCTAGCTATCTTGGGCCCGCTTGAGCTGGTTTTGCGCGATGTCCCAGCGATTTCGCAAGCAGCACAGTGGGGTGGCAACGGGGAAAGCTCTCAGCGACATGCTGTTTCACAGTGCCACGGCGTGCTCTGTCCGGCACCTGAAAGTGCCATGGGTCTTAAAACCCAGACATCGAAGCAGGTGATGGTTGCTAGGAAGATATCGAACCAATTCCTCGGAGCAGCACGGGTGGCGACCAGAGTCATCAGCCGTTTACATACATACATACATACATTCCATTCCATTCCATTCCGTTCCGTTCCGTTACATTACATTACATTACATTACATACATACATACATACATACCATAATTAACATAAATATCAAACATAACAAACACACATACATACATACATACGTACGTACATACATACATACATACATAACATAACATAACATAACATAAAATTTCATAACATGCATACAAACATACAGACATACACACATACATTGCATTACATTTACATTTACATTACATTACATTACATACATACACTACATTACATTACATCCTATTACATACTTACATGCATACAAACTTACATTACTTTTTCTACATTACATTACATTACATTACATTGCATGCATTCATGCATGCATACATACAAACATCACATTACATTACATTACATTACAATACATTTCATATATATATACACACATACATACATACATACGTACTTACATACATACATACAGTACAGTACAGTACTGTACATTAAAGTACACAGCAAGACATACATTACATTACATTACATTACATTGCATTGCGTTGCATTGCATTACATTAAATTACATTACATTGCATACATACATACATACATACATACATACATACATACTTACTTACTTACTTGCATTACATGACGTTACAGTACACTACACTACATTACATTACATACATTACATACGTACATACACACATACATAATTTACATTGCATTGCATTACATTGTATGACATGACATGACATGACATACATACATGCATGCATCATGCATAAAAACATACATGCATACGTACATGACATGACATGACATGACATGACACGACATGACATGACATGACATGACAATATGTATATATATATATATGTACATTCATATCTATATACTTATATACACACTCCCCGTTGGATGACCCCTCTACAAAAAGAGTTTCCCGCTTCCATGTTAGTCATTCGGCCGCTCCATTCAGTGTCCATCTTGGGTGTTCAAAGACATGGTAGAATGGCAGGCGGTCTGGCCCATCTTCGGGAGGAAGAGGTTTTAGGGCGGGGGGTTGTTCTGCCAACGGCCATGCGAAGATGAACTGTCCTGGAGGCCCCTGGCAGGATAAAAACCGGGCTGCCGTACCTGGTGCGCACACACATAAATATCCCTGGATCCATCAAATCGTGGGCAATCAAACTAACCTACTGGTGTCCCCGCGCGCCCTCACCTACTTCAACTTCCGCACTTGGTGCCATACTCACACTACCTACTCTCAACCTCACCCTGCAACACACTGGCAACAGAATCCTTCTTCCGAAGTCTTCCTCTACCAGGTTGGCCCATGCTGCATTTGGTCCACCCACCGACCCTCCATCCACCAAACCGTCCCCGCCGATGCTCCATCCACCGAAACCCGGCCGACACACCGGGCGACACTAAGGTGGTGAAGAACTTCCGCCTCTCCACGGCGATGCGCGCCCTGCGTGGCGCGACCGGCTCGGACCCGTCGTCGGTCCTGGACGGGTCGAGGGAGGGCGGTCGTGTGACCGCGCTCCACGGTGCTGGAGGGTCCAACGAAAATGAGGGAGCCTCAATTAGAGAGTCCCACCAGGTGAGGGAAAGGAAAGTCTGAGGGGAAACCCTTCCGAAGTCACTCGACCTCGGTTGCGGGAGCCACGTGCGAGTCGCCAATTCCAACCTCAAGGATGCTGTGATTGCGGGCCATGGGCCATTAGCCCGCCCACGGTGGGCGGGCAGGTCATGGGGTAGCTGGAAAGCACGGTACGGTAGCTGAAGCCTTGCCCCCGCCCCAGCTGCCCAGCCGAAGGCACATAAGCTCCAAGAAGTACAGCACGGCAAAAATGTTGTCAGAAACGGAAAAGAAGAAGGAAGGATCGGCCACCTGCATGGGAAGGGCGCCCATGAAACCAAGGCTGAAATTCCGCATGGGAGTTTGTGCTGGGGGGCATCTTCCTTACGGTTCTGAATTTGCCAAGGGCAGAACAGGTGCTCTCGCTCGGCCTCTGAAGCCGAGGCGCCGGCGCATGGCCTTGGTTCAAGGTCTGACCATTGAAGCGGCCTTCGAACTCCAATTCGATGGCCATGAAGATCGAGTTCACCTCGGGCGATTCGGAAGGCGGATTTTTCCCTGGAACCGAAGTCGTAGGACAAGAAGGCTTTCGGAAGGGAGGAAATCGCTGCCAAGCAAGACCAGTTGGAAGCAAAGCTCTAGATTAGATCACAAACCCGCAGAGTAGTGTGGGCTCTCCTTGGCTGATCCAAAATCTACCCAAACCCACTCCCAGCCCGCCAAGCAGCGAGGACACAAAGCCCCGCCTTCAGTGAATCAGAAAAGAACGCTGCAATCGTTTTGGCTGGGGGGGGGGGCCAGGTCACTTGGAAGAATCTGGAGCCCCTCGTAGCGTCCTTGCTCCTAGTAGCAAGGCCATGAGCCCCTAGTAACGTCCTTTCTCCTAGTAGTAAGGCCACGAGCCCCTAGTAGCGCTTTTGTTCCTAGTAGTAAGGCCACCAACCCCTAGTAGCGTCCTTGCTCCTAGTAGTAAGGCCACGAGCCCCTAGTAGTGTCCTTGCTCCTACTAGTAAGGCCACAAGCCCCTAGTAGCATCCTTGCTCCTGCTAGTAAGGCCATGAGCCCCTAGTAGCGTCCTTGCTCCTAGTAGTAAGGCCACGAGCCCCTAGTAGCGTCCTTGCTCCTAGTAGTA